AAAAAATTTAAATGTTGTGAAATTGTTCTGTAAAAATTTTTAAAGTCCTACTTGTAATCACACATTCTCCGTCTCTGTTTGGCACTGAGGCTCCCTTCCTTGCAGGTCTCTGGGGCTGCGGAGCTGGGGGCAGGTCCACCAGCAGAATCTTTCCTCAAACACTCCCCCACTAATGGATCTTCTTTCCCTTTCTCAAGAGAGCAAAGCTCACATTTGCACACCGTTGGTGGGAATGTAAATTAGTGCAATCGCTGTGGAAAACAGTATGGTTTCTCAAAAAACTAAAAATAGAGGTACAAAAAAAAAATAGAGCTACAATATGATCCAGCAATATGTATATACACACAATGGAATACTACTTGGCCATAAAAAATAATGAAAATCTGCCATTTGCAGCAACATGGATGGACTTGAAGGATATCATGCTAAGTAAAATGTCAGACAAAGACAAATACTGTATAAAATCACATATATCAGATCTAAAAAATACAACAAGCTCGAGAATATAACAACAACAAAAAAGCAAACTCACAGGCGTAGAGTAAAAAGCTAGTGATCACCTGTGCGGAGACAGAAGGGGGGAGAGGCAATAGAGAGGAGTGGATTAAGAAGTACAAACCGTCGGGCATAAAATGAGCTACAGGGGTATATTGTACAGCACAGGAGAGATGGCCAATATTTTATAACAACTATAAATGGAGTATGACCTTAAAAATTATGAGTCAGTATACCGTGCACCTGTAACTGAATAGTTTTTGTATATCACCTATGAAGTGAGGTGAAATGAAGTGGCTCAGCTCTGTCCGACTCTGTGCGACCCCGTGGACCGTAGCCTACTCCTCCTCTGATATGCTGCTGCTGCTAAGTCACTTCAGTCGTGTCCAACTCTGTGCAACCCCATCCCTGGGATTCTCCAGGCAAGAACACTGGAGTCGGTTGCCATTTCCTTCTCCAGTGCATGAAAGTGAAAAGTGAAAGTGAAGTCGCTCAGTCATGTCTGACTCTTCGTGACCCCGTGGACTGCAGCCCACCAGGCTCCTCCGTCCATGGGATTTTCCAGGCAAGAGGACTGCAGTGGGCTGCCATTGCCTTCTCCTCCTCTGATATAGGTGAAGTATATCACCTATACTTCAATTTAAAAAGGGTTCAAAACATACATTAAAAAAACAAAGCTTAATTCTGCAAATTTGGCAAATGCCCTCCAAGCAAATGTGACTACAGGGTTTTGAATACCTCCTAGGTTTCTGACTTAATTTAGGTTTTGGCCTGTTAATTCTTTACTGTTTTGTTGGCTTTATCCATGCTTTAAGAAGGAAGATAATTATATTTCCCTCAGCATTTTAAATCATCTTTAGTGCAAGGTTAACCATCTGTGTTGAAGAAAACAGAAGTCTGTTTCACTTTTCCGGCACAACTTTTTATCTTCATCAGAATTAACATGTTTTTTCCTCCTTAACTTTTCTACATGTGTGTGTGTGGGTTGGGTCAGTCATATCTGACTCCGCCCTGCCACGAACTGTAGCCCCACCAGGATCCTCTAGATACTTTTCATTAATACATCCCCAAGTTCTCCTCTGGTTAAGCAAATCTCTTTTCAGTAAGTTCCAATGTCTTAGGTATTCTATAAATTTTATTTCTTAAAAAATCACTCCTGAATCCTGAATTTCTCTAATCTTGATGAATTGATCTCTGGTCCTGCCCTCCAATTTGAAATCTCCCTTTAACATCACCTTGTGGATTCCTTTTTCTCTTTTGTGTGGATACTCTGTTTCATGGATTTCATACCTTTCTCTCTTTTGACTAATTTATTTGTCTTGATGTAATAAATCCCCTCCTAACTTTCTGAAGAACAATGCATGGAATATCTGTATTTTGAATTGCGTGTCTGAAATTGTCTTTATCCTGGACTCAGATCACAGTTTGGCTGTGTGTATTAATAGAATTCTAGGTTGGAAACAGTTTCCTTCAAAATCTTGAAGCCATTCTTTACTGTCTTCTGCCTTACAGAGTTTTGATACGCCAAATGCTATTCTGATTCTTGATCTTGTATGCAACTTGTCCTTTTCCTCTGGAAGCTCTTAGAATTGTTTGTCTGTGTCCAGTGTTCTGAAATTCTATAAGGAAGGATTTGGTGTGGGTTTGCTATCAGTGTGCCCTTCCAATTTAGAGACTTTCTTCATTTCAGGATAGCACAATACTTTAGAATAATTTTGGTGATTATTTCTTCCCTTCTCTGTCCTTTTTGTGAAACCCTCACTATTCAGAGAGGCTCCCCCGGTGGCTCGGTGGGAAAGAACCCACCTGTGACGCAGGAGACCCAGGTTCAATCTCTGGGTCGGGAAGATCCCCTGGACGAGGGAATGGCAACCCGCTCTAGTATTCTTGCCTGGAGAATTCTTTGGATGGAGGAGCTGATTGGGCTGTGGTCCATGGGGGTCACAAAGAGTTGGATACTACTGAAGTAACTGAGCACGCACGTATGCACTATTCAGATGCTGGACCTGCTGGACTGATCCTTGACTTTTTATTAATCTTCTCCTAAAGTAGGACAAATTTCATTTTCTTTCTTTCTTTCAAAGACTTATTTATTTATGGCTGCACTGGGTCTTCACTTTTGCATGCAGGGCCTTTCTCTAGTTGTGGAGAGAGGGTCTCTTCATTGTGATGCTCAGGCTTCTCACTGGAGTGGCTTCTCCTGTTGCAGACCCCAGGGTCTAGAGCGATGGATCAGGAGTCGCAGTGCACAGGCTTAGTTGCTCTGAGGCTTGTGGGATCTTCCCGGATCAGGGATTGAAGCCATGTCTCCTGCACTGGCAGGCAGATTCCCAACCATTAATTTTCAACTTCATCCTCTAGTCTTTCTATTGAATTTTAATTTTTATTGGTTTTGATTTCCAAGAGCTCTTTTTTCTTATCTGAATAGTAACTGCTTTTAAAAATTGCTTCCTTAAAAAAAATAGCTTCCTGTTGTAAATTTTTTAAGTCAAAAATTTTATTTCTAAAATATAATCCAATGACTTCATGATCTTTCATGAAGAAACAAACCACCAATTCTCTAAAGGATAAAGAAAATTGAACCTGTCTATAACTACATATCTTGCCTGGATAGTCACAGAATATTTCATTCAATAATCAAAGAAAGTGATTTTTCCAATGAGGAGTCAAGAGATCTATATTACAGTTCAAACTCTTTAAAATTAAAATACATAATATACTGCAATATAACACAAGATTTGTAGAAGGGATGAGCAAGATAGTTCAGTTTCCTTTTTGTAAATAAGGTGAGTAAGTCTATTTAATTTATAATCCTTATTGCACTTAATACCTGAAAATTCTCATTTAGGGCTCAGACTTTGGCCTTATCATCCAAAATAGCAACCAAATTTTAAAAATGCAGTAATTCTTCTACTTTAGCTTATTACATATTAAAAACTCAAAAGACCAAAAATTCTATAATAGGTATTACCAATGAACAAAAATCTAAAAAGTTCATGGCAATGCATCACATAGAATTACCTTGCAATGTTTTTGTTTAGACTTTTTAAATACAGTACTTACATATTTCTTTCATACATTCTTACTTGCCTTGGCAGTTTCACATCTATAAAAATCTTATAATCATTCTTTAATAAATACAAAAGAATAAAAACACCTGTGAAATTTGGACAAACAACGTTAGCACTAGGTATAACCCATCGAGATTCTTAGTTTAACTCATTCAGTTACTACAAAGATCTTTATAGCGTTGAATCTAATACTGTATATTGTATATCACTGCCCTCTGATGGCATCACCAATATATAATTTTAAATTAAGCAAGCAAAAGAAAAACTTTATTATAATGTAATACAGAGTATGTCAATTTTATAAGCTACGGAGGTAGAAAATAAATTATAAGAAGTTTAATGTTTTCTAGATATATTAATTTCTTAATAAGTTCTAAAAATTTACAGTGTTCCTTCATATAAGCCCTTCAAATAATTTTTCAAGATTTTCCCTGATGATCAGTTCAAAAGGCACTGAGTCTCTAAGCAAAAATCTTCACATATAATGAAATAATGAGATATAAGGTTAAGTGACAAATTAAAAATAGCTAGATCACTTTATAAAGGAGGGAAAATACAAGTGCAAGTTTGAATATTTGAGATGTATGTAAAATTTTTCCATGCAATATATAAATATATATTCACAATTTAGGTCCATGTTCTAAACTGCTGAAAAATGGCAAATCACCCACTGTCTGCAGAAGAGCACATGTAGGGAAAATAAGTATTTAATGAAAGGTCTGGCCATTTTCTAAGTCTGACAATCAAAAGCATTTTCAATATTCAGTTTTGAAAAAGCACGGCACTTAAGAGCACTAAAATCAAAGTCTGAATCTTCATTTATTCAAAGAGAAGAGATTAAATTGAGGATGTCCACTTGATTGCAGGTAGAGTTATTGGCAGTGGACTCTTAAACACTCATGCTTTATAAAACTCTCCGTCTAAGTCCACCTTCTGGTGGGGGTTCAGATGTAGCCATTTCTTTTTCTATTTTCCCCTTTTTCTTTCTCTTTTCCTCCACAAACTGAACATTCAGAATCCTCCGAGACGCAGCCTCCTTCTGCCTTCTCTCTGCAGCGTCTGCAGGCTTTGCCCTTTATTCTTCCAGGTCCGGCGAGGGAGGCGCGGCCTCCGTGGGACAGGGCGGTTGGGGGTCCCCTCCTCGGCCCGCCCAAACCAGGCGGTGAGAACTGCGCGATCTAACGCGGGTCCCAGGTCTGCGGTGCTGGCTCCGCCCTGCTTCTGCTATAATTTTATGCACACAATATATTATTTCTCTGAGGCTCTTACTGATGGGTTTTTGTTTGTCTGAATTAATTTTCGGTTGCTTTTTCTCCCTTGCAATTTGTTCCTTCTGAGTTGCTGTTTTTCTTCTTCTTGCTTGTTTTGTTTTCTTCTTTGTGTATTAAAGACATTCCTTAAATGTTTTATGATCCTAGGCTGTCCGCTTATATTTCGGAGTGAGGCTATCAAAAAGCTGACTGGAAAGACTGTGTGCCGGCGAGGACGCGAGGGCTTCCCCGCTGGCTCGGACTGAGAAGAATCTGCCTGCAGTGCAGGATTCTCGGCCAAGGACTTAAACGTAGGGTTAACTCATCTTATTTCTTTAAGAGAACCCTGATGAAAATATCTTTGGGATTTCTCTGTTGGGCGGGACAGAGTCTGCAGATAAGTTTTTCCAAAGATATAGTCATGCTCTTGTTTATGTTTGTTTAGGAATCAATTTCTCAGGATTGCTTAATCAGTTCCCGTTCCTCCATTTGCTTTCTAGCTTCTGAAACGTTGCTGCTGTCTTCTTTCCCTTTTGTTCCTACGTGGCTTGGAGGACAATGCCTACGTTCGTCACTCGCAGCTCTCTAGCTCGCAGTTTTCAACTGTAAGTTCCCATTATTTCTTTAGGATCATTTTTATTGGAAGACAACTGCAGGATCGTCGAGAAAGGTTTGACACAGATTACCAGATCACCCTAAAGTTGTATGCATACATGAAAAGAGGAATGCTACTTGTTTTGTAACAAGTATTAAGTAGCTTTCAAGAGTATTGTGTGCACGCACCCATCCACCTCAAACATCCGCTTGGCGGCGGCCAGACACAATACAAAAGATGACTTAAAAGCAATCAGAAACGCGTACAACAGCTGGGCTAGAAGAGGAAAAAAAAAAAAACAAACAAACCAACTGCTTCACGGGGCCCGGCGTGCAGACCGCGCCTCCCTGGAACTGGGAGAGGGGAGGAGGGGGTCGGATATCATTGGTGATTGGTTGGCCTCTTCAACCAATCACGCGCAGCGAGTGATTTCGCTAATTGTCGTGATACACCTCCTCGTGGGCTTTAGAGCTACGTTGACAAATGGGAATAGGGCACGTGGGAGGGACAGAAAGTTTGGCCAATAAGACCTTGGGGCGTTAGGGGCGGGATGAGGCCGCCGCCAGGTTTAGGGCGGAAGGAGTTGTTCTGGATTAGAAGGGGAACGAAAGATGGCGGCGGAAACGCTGCTGTCCAGTCTGTTGGGGCTGCTACTTCTGGGGCTCCTGTTCCCCGCAAGTCTGACCGGCGGGGTCGGGAGCCTGAACCTGGAGGAGCTGAGTGAGATGCGTTATGGGATCGAGATACTGCCGTTGCCTGTCATGGGAGGCCAGGTGAGGAGGCGTAGGGGGGCGAGGGTCCTGGGCAGAAAGGGAAGGAGGAGAAGGTGGAGGAAGAAGGGCCGCTGTGGAGTCTGTGGCGGAAGCCTGAGGAGAATCGGGGAGAGTAAGCAGCGGCTTTATGAGGACGCGTGAGGACCGTAGTCAAAGACCCATTCCCTCGGGGCCGGGGGCTGGGAGGGGTGGGGCTTCCCTCTGTCAACCTCAGGTCCCAGTTCCTTATTGAAACGCCCAGACTCCTCCCCGTGAAGAAGGGGGCGTGCCGTCTCCCCTCACCCGCCGAGCTCCGCGGGAGGACTGGTGGCTCGCTCGCTCTGGACTGGACTCTTCCCCATTATGTGAAGAGGGATCTCGTTGTCCTCCCTGATCCCCAACCTCTCTTTGCCTCCCTGTCCCCCGACCCCGCTTCTTTCCCAGAGCCAGGCTTCGGACGTGGTGATTGTCTCCTCTAAGTACAAGCAGCGCTATGAATGCCGCCTGCCAGCTGGAGCTATTCACTTCCAGCGTGAAAGGGAGGAGGAGGCACCTGCTTACCAAGGGCCTGGGATCCCGGAGTTGCTGAGCCCGATGAAAGATGCGCCCTGCCTGCTGAAGGTGAAGGGAACTGGGATAGAGGAAGGGGCATGGAAACTAGTTATCTGTTTGGGAACTAGTTATCTATCCACAGTGTGTCTGTGAATGAGGGCTATCTGTCGGAGTTAAGAACATTGGAGGAGCAGGCCTATTGTACAGACAGGAAGGAAACAAAGAGTGCTGTAACCAGTGATGATGCTTTGCTGATTATAGAGGAGTGTTAGGATAGACAATCTCAGAATAAAGATTAAACCAATATTGAGGTGCTTAAAGAGGGCCAGGCTGGGGCAGTCGGGGTACTCCCCTAGAGAAACTTGCCTGGTTAAGTCACCCCTTCCCTGTCACTCTCTGCTCAGTGTCCTGTTTTATTTTCATCATGGCACTTCTCATGATCTGAAATTATTAACTGAATTATCAGTTGATTTATTTTTGGTCTGAGTCCTAGTACTAGAACGTAAGTCTGTGAAATCAGAATTTAAAAGAGAATGTATCTTGTTCACAGCTGTATCCACAGTAGCTAAAACAGTACAAGGAAGTTCAATTAATACTTTGATATTCCATGTTTCCCTGGTCTGAGTGCTTCAAGGATATCACGATTTCTTATCTTTATGGACAACAAAGAAGGATTAAAAAAGATATTTACAAAGAAAAAAAATTAAAATATTTAGAGAGAGAAGAGTAGTAAACCAACTAGGCTATAGAGGTCTCTCTCCAAGTTACAGAAGACAGACAGCCCTCCTCACCAAGAATCTGGAGGATTAAGAATAAGGGGGAGATGAGAAGTAAATCAGTGGTTGTGTGTTTTGGGGCCAGGAGAGATTTTGGTTCCAAGAAGAGGTGCCTGCACTCCATCCCCCTGACTTGATCTTTTTTTCTTTTACTGTCAGACCAAGGACTGGTGGACATATGAATTCTGTTATGGTCGCCACATCCAGCAGTACCATATGGAAGGTGAGTTCCACCTATGTTTTCCCCAAGCCCTCAGAAACCTGTCACGGAAGGTGACCTGCCTCCCGGTTCCCTTCCCTCCCAGTCCTCTGAGAACAGGGTAACCATACTTCACTGTGCTCTCCCTTGCAGACTCAGAGATCAAAGGTGAAGTCCTCTATCTCGGCTACTACCAATCGGCCTTCGACTGGGATGATGAAACAGCAAAGGTGGCAGGAGTGTGTTACCGGGAGAGAAAGGGGTCTGGGCTGCAGATGAGAGCCCTGTCACAAGAAGGGGAGGGTCAGGGTTAGCTGACGTGTTTCTCTGGGCTTCGTCTTAGGAGAGAGTGCTCTTTTTTTCCTCCTTGCTGTCTTTCTCACACCCCTCCCTCATGCCTGATGTCCTCCCCAGGCCTCCAAGCAGCATCGCCTGAAACGCTACCACAGCCAGACCTATGGCAATGGGTCCAAGTGTGACCTCAATGGGAGGCCCCGGGAGGCCGAGGTTCGGGTGAGTCTGGGGAGAGGGCCGTTGACACTCCGACAGAGAGAACTCCGAGTCTACGGGAAGAGCGCAGGGCGGTGCGGTACAGTCAAGAGTGCCGCTACCAGGCTCTAGACCCTAAGTTTAAGACTCATATTTCCAGCTTTGCGTCCCTGCCTCAATTTTCACAGGCACTTCCGTTTTTTTTTTTTTTTAATTGGTGTATAATTGCTTTCCAGTGTTGTGTTAGGTTCTGCTCTCCTACAACATGAATCAGCTGTATGTGTATATGCCCCCCATATATGCCCCCACTCTGGAGCCTCCCGTGTCCCTGCCCCCACGTCCCACTCCTCTAGATGATCACATAGCCCCGAACTGAGCTCCTTGCGCTATGCGGGAGCTTCCCACTAGCTACCTGTTTTACTCATGGAAATGTATACATGTCAGTGCTACTCTGTTAATTCATCCCACCTACTCCTTACCCCACTGTGCCCAGAAGTCCATTCTCCTATGTCTGCATCTCTTTCCTGCCCTGCAAATAGGTTCATCAGTACCATTTTTCTAGATTCCATATATACACATTAATATATTTGTTTTTGTCTTTCTGACTTCACTGTGTATGACAGAATCTAGGTTCATCCACATCACTACAAATGACCCAGTTTTGTTCCTTTCTATGGCTAATGTTCCACTTTATACTTGTACCACATCTTCTTTATGTTTTCTTCTGTTGATGAACGTTTAAGTTGCTTCTATGTCCTGGGTACTGTAAATAGTGCTGCTCTGAGCACTGGGGTACATGTGTCTTTTTGAATTATGGTTTTCTCAGGGTGTATACCCCGTGGTGGGATTGCTGCATCATACGGTAGTTTTAGTTTTTTAAGGAAGCTCTGTACTGTTCTCTGGGCTTCCCAGGTGGCGCTAGTGGTAAAGAACCTGTCTGTCGAAGGAGATGTAAGAGACTTGGATTCCATCCCTGGGTTGGGAAGATCCCCTGGAGGAGGACATGGCAACCCAGTCCAGTATTCTTGCCTGGAGAATTCCATAGACAGAGGAGCCTGGTGGGCTGCAGTCCATGGGGTTACAAAGAGTCAGACGTGACTGAAGCGACTTAGCACACACGTATACTGTTCTCCATAGTGGTTGTATCAGTTTCATTCCTACTGGCCAACCACACTTTTATCTGTGTTTCTCCCTTCTGTCACCTAAGCTGGACACCTGAGTCTCATTACTAACTCTTACTGCTTCACTTTGTCCTCCTTTCTTCACTTACTGACTCTGCAGTGAGGTCGTGCTGGTGTTGGTATTGGGCTCCGCTCTGGAGGTGCAGTGGTGGGCAGACATGCAGCCCCTGCCCTCATGGACTGCAGGCGGGAGGGGAAGGCAGAGGTTAAAGAATCACAAAAATGAGCCTGTGATTACAAGCTGCGAAGTGGTGGAAAGGAAAGGAATCAGAGTCAATAACAAAGCTCCTTCATTCTACTTCTATATTTCTCTCGTAGCTGTGCTCTTCTTTCCTATGCTTCATGCCTTCATCTCTCACCTGCATCACCTCCAGCAGCCTCTTACCTGATATCATGGTACTTAAAGGAATTCAGGCAGGCAGCTGTCTGGTAGGCCAAGTTCCTCAGGTGATTCTGATGTGTGTTCACAAACATATACACCTATGCAGAGCCAGGACACAACAGTTCTCTTTATGTAATACAGATTTGCACATGCAGTTGTGTGGTGGTAAGTGTGGGACACGAGGATCGCCCAGGTAGGGTGGGGTGGTGGAGGGGGAGCCCAGGTGTAATGTCTGCCAGTATCCATGGTATAAATATCCTCACCATGGCCAAATGCATGCTATCCCTGTAACGTCGACCATCGTGCAGCATTCCTGAAAGCTGACCAGTCGGCTCCTGTGAACTGGCCTGAGTGGGCTCACACCACTCCGAGCAAGTGTTGCTCCTCTCCCGAGTTCTGGAAAGCCTTCAACAATTCTGCCTGGCACAAATGATAAGACCCAAATACTTCAGAGCAGACTGGGGTGGCAGCAGCAGAGAAGGTGGGAAGCAGCCAGATTCTGGATAGATTTTGAGGATAGCGCCAGTAAGGTTTGTTGAAGGATTGGATGTGACGGGGAGTCTACGATGATTCCAAGGCCTTTAGCTTGAGCAGCTGGAAAAATGGAATTGTCATTTAGTTAAGTGGGAGGGAATGGGTGTGGAGGAGGAAAGTAGGCTGGTGTGGACACATGAAGGTCAAAATGCCTAGTAGATATCCCAGTGGTGATGGTCAGTTGGTAGTTGGCTCTCTAATTCTGGAATTCCAGGACAGGGTCTGGGTTAGAGATATAAAATCTTACAGCATTTCTGTCCCACTGCTCTTCTTCCTGCCCTTTGATTTGTTGTTGTTGTTTGTTTTAAAAAACTGCTTGTTTATTTGGCTGCGCTGAATCTTGGTTGGGGCATGTGGGATCTAGCTTTTCCCAACCAGGGATGGAAGCCAGGCCCCCGCACTGGGAGCACAGAGTCTTGTGACTGGACCACCAGGGACGTCCCCTTCCTGTCTTGTGTACCACTGAGTCTATTTCCCCTACCTAGAGACCTCTGAACGGCTGTCCCCATCCTCTGATTCAGATTACATATCCCTGTGACACCTCCGCAGGGAGACCTGATGTGGGCCCACAGACACACACCCTTTCGCCTTCATCTTGGTAAACACCTATGGAGTTTTATATTCTTCAAAGCATGTGTCGTTTCCTGAAATTAGCTTTATTTTTGGGGTTTAATTTCTTTGTCTGTCCCCACTAGGATAAGCTCCAGGAAGTCAGGGACAATATCTGACTGTCTTATTTTCTGCTGTATCCTCAGCGTCTTCCACAGTGCCTGGCACCAAGTAGATGCCCAGAGGTTATTCACTGAATGAATGGAATGAATGATGAGCCATTTCAAATGTCGCTTTATTTTTTGTGACCTTTCTTGGCTAGCCCGGAACATTCACTGTGTTGTTTCAGAGCTTCATGTATCAGCACATCTGCATCCACATATATCCACACCTTAGCCTGTTTGGGCTGCTATAACAAACTACCACAGGCTAGGTAGCTTATAAACAACCGAAATTTATTTCTCACAGTTCTGGAAGCTGTAAGTCTGAGATTGGAGTGCCAGTGAGGTTGGGTGAGGACCCTCTTCCAGTCACAGACTTCTTGTATCCTCACAAAGGAGCTCTGTGGGGTCTCTTTCATAAGAGCATTAATCCCATTCATGAGGGCTCCATCCTCATGACCTAAGCATTTCTGACAGGACCCTCTCCTGATATTGTCACAGTGGGCATTAGGATTTCAACCTACAAATTTTAGGGAGACACAGACATTCAGACCACAGCAATCCACAGCACCCACACACATACATAATCTATTATAGCACTTACTTCATTGTAGTCTATGTATTTCGTTACTTGTTTGTGTGTTCAGTAACACTGAGAACTGAAGGCAAAGACTTCATTTTCCTCATGGCTGCTGACAGTACACCCTGTGCCAAGCACTGTGATAGAAACCGGAGAGGAAATGCTGACTGAGAGCCCTAGTCCTGCTGTCAGGAGACAGACGTCGCACAAACAGCCACGGCGCGTGGGCACACTCTCTGATGGGGCGGTGTGTTTACAGGGGAGCACACAATGAAAGAACCAACCCAGGTCCAGGGGAGACCTCTGGGGAAGGTGATGTTTGGGCCGGGAGTAGAAGGATGAGGAGTTTGTCCAGCCGCTGCAGAGGAGTGGAAAGGCGAGGTGTTCCAGGTGGAAGGTGCATTCAGTTCAGAAGGCTTGGAGATGGCAGGGATGGATAGCTGTGCACAGTGACCGGGGGGAACCACGGGAGGTGAGGCTGGGCAGTCGCTAGGGGACGAGTCACACGTCACGCGAAGCTCTGCACCTGTGTGCAGGAGTTTGGACAATCTGAGAAATGAGGGGAAACCAATGAAGTATTGGCTTGGCCAAAAAGTTCATTCAGGTTTTCCCATAACCTGTCCTAGGAAAAACCCAAATGAACTTTTTGCCAGCCTGATCTTTTGAGCAGATGCTGACAGATTCAGTGTTGGTTTTGAAGGCTTGCTCTGGCTCAGTTCAGTTCAGTCGCTCAGTCATGTCCGACTCTTTGTGACTCGATGAACCGCAGCACGCCAGGCCTCCCTGTCCATCACCAACTCCCGGAGTCCACCCAAACCCATGTCCATCAAGTCGGTGCTGCCATCCAACCATCTCATCCTCTGTCGTCCCCTTCTCCTCCTGCCCTCAATCTTTCCCAGCATCAGGGTCTTTTCAAATGAGTCAG